CTGGTTTGAATTCAAAACTTTTCCTTATTTTTAAAAAAATTAAGGTCATATTTTATCTATACAAAATGTACTAGAGAGTAATAAAAACTTGCCAAATCTATGGAAACGATTGCAGATGAGTGTAGTCTAGGGCTTCGAGGCTAGTTGTAATGGATGATGTTTGTCTCAAAGGTCACCAGAGGAAATAAACCCAAAGGGCAGCATCTTTCAAGGGTCTTAAGTATTTGACAAAATCACTTTCTTTGTGGAAGATATAACCATGTTTTATGCCCTGGATTTCTCTGAGACTTAACAGACTATACAGGTTTTGGGGTGGTTTATTTGTTTTATCATTTAGTGGTTAAGTTTCTCCCTGTTTTTCCAGTCCATTTGAAAATCGCATTTTATATATTATGATTTTTTAGTAGAAAAGTCAAAATTGTAAGGATCTCTGCCTTGTGTAAAGCATTTGTTTTTGCTTCAGCTGTATTTGTTTTTCTGCATGAGGTAAGCCCTCACAAATACTCTTTTTCCAGAGTGTGTAGTATTCATTGTATGCCTTCCTTGTGGCAGGCACCTTAGAAGCACTTACATATTGACATTGTTGTGTGATGAATCATTTAAATCTTTTTAAATCATTGGGGGGGGGTGTCAGGTGGATGTGTCCCTGAGCACAGGTATCCTCAGAGGCAGAGGATCTCCTGGAGCTGGAGTTAAAAGTGTTTGTAAGCCACCTAATGTCTGCACTGCAAATACAAGTTAGGTCTTCTGCAATAGCAGCAAGTGCTCGTAACTACTGAGCCACCTCTCTGATCTCCATTATTTTTAGTTTTATATGAAATCTTTTATTATCTGTCCTATATGCCAAATCCACATATAAATATAAGAACTTATACCTGTTTCTAAATACTTGCTGCACCTGGCTGTATACGTTAAAAGGCATTGTCTTTCTATGACTTCTCTAAGGTTAAAACAGTTTTCAGAAGCCCTCTGCAATTATCTTCGTTGTCTTTTATATGTAGACACCTTTGTCATGGATGCTGTCTGCTAAGATGGAGGAAATATCAGACACTGCTGAAGGCCAAGGTTTTCAGTTCAACAGTTCATCAGGAGCCCTTGACCTGAGAATATTGTTGTCTACCTTGCACTACCGTGTCCTCATCTATAGAAGGGAGTGCATGGTTGGTCTGCTTTTCCTGGAGGGGAGGAGGAGGCCTTATGGGATGGGCATACGATGTATGACAGTTGCCAGTCATATATCTATACCTGAGAAGTGATAGCTATCGTTCTTAATTTTAAGGTCATTAAAGGAAGCCTACGTTTTGGTTTTTGGTAATTTTGCATCTGCCTTGTTACTCTGTTTGGAGAAAATTATAGATAGCTAGCAGTGAGCTATGCATAAAGTATTCATTTATGTTGCTATCAAATTTCTCAGTGTAATCACCTCTCTAGTAGTGCCAGTCCCTATGTGCCGAGCAGTCAGACACACGTAGAATCTATAAGGGCCATTCCTACTCACATCACCTCAGAGTGATGTGTCAGAGTCATACTGAGCAAGAAGGTGGATGGATAGGCACCACCTGTGCCACGGTCATAGACACTCGTAGACTATTACTTGACAGCTGCTACTAAGGCACAAAGAAAGAGACTTTCCAAATGCTGCATCCACTCAAGAATAGCCAAGGGGTACATCCTGGGGTACAAATGTTATATAGATGCCACACATAAGAGGTGGCAGGCCACAACCAAAGTGTTCTGAAACCAGGAGCACTGGTTACCACACTTCTTCCAGGAGCACAGGTTACCGTGCTTCTTCCAGGAGCACGGGTTACTGTGCTTCCTTGTATTCATGGCAGTTACTCAGAGAAGTCTTTATTTTGATACAACAGCTTTAGGTTGGAGCCTTCTGACTAGGAAAACCTGTTATGGCTTTTCGTTATCAGTATGCATATAAAAAGAGCCTTTTGTGGCCAGGTATGGGGGTACATGTTTTTAATACAAATACTCCAGAGGCCTAAAGAGGTAGATTTCTGTGTAAGGCTTTCCTGATCTAAGCCAATTAGTGGTATGGCAAAAACATAAATAAAAACCTGAGAAAAAATGAAAAGCATACAAGGAGTTTTGGTTTCTACTTGCAATTGGAAATTTGTTTTCCCTTCATTGTGCTTTAAAAGCAAAATACTAAAGAGCTGATTCAGGGAAAGTTCAAAATAGTAAATGTTTTGCCACGTCAGTATTGCCTGCTTTGGTAGAATCAGGATTAGGTAAGGATCAATACTGCATTCATGGTTTTGTTTGTTTTGTTTATTTTGTTTTGTTCATAGGCGACAAAGATTAAGCAGCAAGACCTCTGGGGACAGAGTGCTGGCCTAGCATGTACAAGGCCTTAGGTTCCACTTCAAGGACTATAAACTGGAAGAAGGGAACTGGGGTGCTAGGGAAAGACGGGGTGGCGAAGGAACATTACTACACTTTTATTATGTCAGATCTCTGCTGCGCTGTTTTTAAACAAGTTTCTATAGCTCTTCTGCCTGCCCTAAATTGGGCCTTGCCATCTAAGTATTATAAAAGTACAGGTTTTTCAGTAGTAAATTGACAATGCTATCGGTTGAAGGCACAAACTCCAGCTTACCTGCTGTATAGCTTTAGTTATAGTATATCAGTAGTCTGAATAGCTGGCATGTAATATGTGATCAGAAATGTTCATATTATTGAGTGACATGTCTGTGAATAAATGTAAGAGAAAAGTGTCAGCTTCTTCATTTTTTCTACAAGTAGAATAATTACACATGTTGCCTTGCTTCTGTACTTTGTATATTTTCATAATTTAGAAATTATGGTAAAAGGATTATTATACTGGTCCCTCCAAATAAATGCCCAAATACCCACCTATTCTAGAGACTCAATGGGTTGACCTTTCTGGGTCCTTAACCTACTGTATTAGAGTAATGAGGTTAAAGGAGTTAATGCTGACATTTGTATGCATTATACCACTTGATTCAAAGCATTATTTTTAAAAACAGCTTTATATATAACTATGTCAAGTACAGCCCCTGAATTTCAAATCATGCTACACCAAGGATTCACTTTGTGATATGAACACGTAACTTACTCTCTCCAGGTATGGATGTTTGTATGTGTAATACAAGGAAAATCAACCTAGGCTTATAATAAAATGATGTGCAACAATCAATGAGATAAGTCTCCTTCCACACAGCCTTTGAGATTCGTCATCTTCTTAGTGGAGTAGCTGGTAGATTTTGCGTCTTGGCCTTTCCAAACTTGAATTGTCTTCAGAGCAGGGACTTATTTGTTGGCCTTTGTATCCTGGCTTAGTTTGAGACCATTACACTTAACAGTCACTTAACAGGTCATTGCATTGAATGATGCAGGCAGTTTTCTAAAACAATTAAGTTATTTTCTAGAGACTAAACCTTTTATGTTGTAGAGGTTACCCCAGCACATCTTGAGTGTCACTTGAGATAACTTCAGAAGGCTCAAATGGACTCCTCAGATTCAAATTTGAGCACTGCAGCCAAAATACATTCCACAATACTCTCCTGCATTTTTTACAAAACAGGTAAAATTTATTCCCTGGCCATGTACTAAATTTGAATATCAGCATTTGAGAAAATAAATTTTTGAATTACCAGATCAATTGATTACCTGTTTTTTTTTAACTTCATTGCTTTAAATGAAAACTGTACATTAAAGCATTATACCATTATATACTCATTTTCTTAATTTCTAGAGGAAAAAAATGGCAGTAGGGAACTGGATGTAAATATGAAAAAATGAACAAATAAGAGGAGTCTGAAGAGAGAGAGAGCAGGTAGGGAAAGAGAGTGCTTTACAGATGAAAGCAGATGTGTGAAATTACAAGCCGTCCGATCACAGTGGAAGTGAAGATGATAAAGGAGTTCCTTACCTAGTTTATAATTATTCATTTCGCCCAGTCTAGTCTCCTTTCCATAGTATTCACAGGAGGGAGAATGGTACAAAGCTTCCTTAAAAAGTGCCTTCTCCAACAGCAGAAAGAAAATCTCAGAATCAAAGTCTTTCTGACTCAGTATTTTGTCTGTTTTTTCCTGAATCATAGTTGTTTTCCTGTGGACCATTTTTCAAGTAACTGATTAATGATTGAGGTTTAGTTACAACTGCAGGAAGCTGTAGCTATAAAGTTCCCTCACAGTATTACAGAGCAGTCATTGTGGCTCACAAAACACATGTCATTAATGGGCCCAACTGTGACTGCAGTGACTGATGGATCGCCAAGAAATAGACACATTTGCACAGACCTGTCTTAAACAGGTGGGTTTAGAAAGCATACCCATAGTTAGGATGGTTTATACAAGCTGACCATGGAAGCTTTTCACTTTTTCTCATCCAAAAAATCCTGTATAGACAGTCTCAGTCTCCCCGCCCCCCCCTCTCTCTCTGCCTCTTTCTCTTTCTGCCTCTCTCTCTCTTTCTCTCTCTGCCTCTCTCTCTCTCTCTCTCTCTCTCTCTCTCTCTCTCTCTCTCTCTCTGTATCTCTCTCTCTGTATCTCTCATTTCCTTTTACTTTTAGAAAAACAAATAACTGTAGAAAAGTATAATTTTGATTTTTGAATTATGTGACACATATATAAAAGGACGAGCATGATGTAAATGGTGAAGCGTAATAAGCAGGGTAAGTACTATTTTATTAGAATTTTAGCTGCTTCCCCATAACGAAGTTTATGTTGATAATTTCTCAGCAGCAAAGCTAAAGATAGCCATATAAATGGCAAGAAATACTTGCACATCTAAGAATGTATTTATGTTGCAAATACCACACCCATGTCTGCACCTCTCCTTGCCTCACTCCCTGTGGGTCGTGTCGGGTAGCTTAAATGTGCTGATCCTGAGGGCTTTGGTGAAGATGTCTTCTCAGTACAGACTTGTTAAGTCACATGAATTGGCTCTCAGTTATTTTCTTAGACTCATCATAATGCACATATTTTAAACAGTATTGTATCTGAATCTTTTTTCCCCTTTAGTGATTTCTAGTAACTATCAGACCTGTCTCGGCCTTCTGATGCATTACCCACTCATCGGGGACATACACTCACTGATACTGAAGGCTCTGTTCCTTAGAGACCCAAAGGTAAGCTTTCTTGTGGAAAACATGTATAATTTTTTAAGTTGTGTGAAGAATCAAGTTCTTGATATGATTTATTCCTAATGATTGTTAGAAGTTGTAAGCCAGAGTTCACGTATTTTATTAGCCAGTATGTTAGCAAGTGAATTCAATGGACACTGTCCTAAGAAACTGCACCCCAGCAGGTGCCCCTGTTCCTCTACAGGTTGTCTTGGATCTCCTGCCTCTCTGTTAGCTTAAGAAACTATATAAACACCTACTTCTTACAGCCAGACTTCACTCTTTGATAACCCTCACAGGGGGTGACTTAATTCAAGTAGGGCTTCTGAGGCCACATGGAATCAAGAAACAAGAGCTATAGTAAGGACTGGGTCTAGAAGAATTTATCACTGACTAGGATATGAATGTTTATGTGTATATATACACATAGTATTCTATTCTGTAGCTTACAAGTCACCTAGTAAAGATGCAGACAGACCTGAACACTGATTTCTTTGAGTATAAAGCAATTAATTAAAGTTTTCTTCATACTTCACAGAAAAAAAAAAGTGTGCTCTTTTACAACTAATGTTGTATTTCTTGAAAATAAGAACATTTAATGATCTTAAAAAAAAAAATGTGAATCCTTGCTGTTTTTGAGCCAAACAAAAATATTGGATGAAGAGTGAGAGAGAAAGCTTCAGATGTGAGGAGGAGAACGCCAGGCTCTGGATGGTAATCCCAGCCTTTGGCTCTTTGGAAACGCTGCCAGTAGTCATGTTGGCAGTTGTCAGACTGTCTCTGAGTCAGTCAGTCTGTCTGTGAGTTCTGTTGCCAAAGCTTTGGCTGTTCATCTTAAGCATCCAAATGTAATAGAAATCTGATTCTAAGGGATTTTTTTACCTTTCTCTGGTTGGTGACATTAACTTTGAGTATATTTTCCATTATATTACTTAGAATTTTCCTTACCTGTTTTTTATAGAAATACTATCCTTTATCAGCATTTCTGTTATACAAACAATTTTATTAAACATCAAAATAAAATCTATGCTTCTTTTTATATAAGGAAAAGTCCTTTTTGGATATGGCTTATGAATAGCATTTTTTATATTTTGCATTTCTGTTTTTGTCCACAAGTATGTGTGTAAATATTCTGCAACTCAAAGCCCCACAGAAAGATGAAGTCGCTATGAAAGTTGTAAAGATGCAGTTGCTAATCATTGATTCTTGGTCTCTAGACGTAAAGCACATTGTGTCATCTCAGCATTCAGAATTCTAAGGAGTAGAAAATGGGAGATTAGCTAAACTTCAATTTTTATTTGTTTTTTAAATAATTAATTTATTTATTTATTAATTCTTTGATAATTTCCTACAATGTATTTTGAAAATATTTACCTTTTTCCCCAAACCCCTCCCATATCTCTCTCCATATCTACCCAGCTTCAAGGTTTTTTGTTTGTTTTAAACCCATCTAACCAATTTTGTACTCCCCAAATACCCTTGCATGTGATGCTATTTCCTACAACATGGTCAGCCTACCAGGTTTCACACGCATAAAAAGGACTGACTTTCTCTTTCAGAAGTTAGCAGTTGCCAGTAGTTCCTCCTCTAAGGTGGAACCTGCTGCTCAACCCTCCCCACCCCTTGACCTCTATGTGGAGATTTTTTGTCTATCTGGAGCTTGTATCGGACTTGTGCTTGCTGTCCTAGCTGTTGTGAGAGCTCACACATGCAGATGTGCTGTTAGTCTGGAAAATACAATTTTGCTGTAGTCATTTACTATTTCTCAGATACCCTATTCGGGGCTAGGCACTGCTCAGTGTCTTCTGACATGCTGACTAATGGTGAATGTTCTTGTTAATCACTGTCTACTGCAGAAAGAGACTTCATTTCCATTGATCAGTGTCATTGTTTGTGTGCCAGTACCATGCTGTTTTTATGAGTGTAGCTCTGTAGTATAGCATAAAATCATGCATAGTGATACCTCCAGCAATTCTTTTCTTAAGATTGTTGTTGCTAGCCTTGTTGTTGTTAAGAATTTTTGCAATGAGGTTTATCTGAGAGATTTGCCAATAACATTCTCTTTCTGTTGGCTGATTGACTGATTTGTTGTTGGAGTAATACAAGCTTCACAAGAAAAAGTAGAATTGTCATTTTCTTTTGTATTCTACAGACAATTTTGAGTAGTATTCATGTTAGGTATTTTTTAAAGGTCTGGCATAAGTCTCTGCTATATCTATGTGGCGCTAGGGTTTTTTTTTTTTTAAGTTGATATATTTTTAATTACTCCTGCTAGATCATAGAGTTGTTTTGGATCTATTTAAATTATTTACTTCATCTTCATTTAACCTTGGTAGATCATATACATACATATACATATATGATTAATGGAATATATATTTTTAAAGTATATCCTTATGAATTTCCTCAGAGTTTGTTGTAACGTTTTCCTTTTCATCTTTGATTTTATAAATTGGGTCTTCTCTCTTTCTTTTGGTTAATTTCCTAATGGTTTGTCAATCTTGTTGATATTTTCAAAGAGCCAATTATCTCTTTCCATCCTTCATTTTAGGGTATTGTTTGTTCTTTTTCTAAGGTGTTCGGCTGCATCCTTAAGTATGAGAGACCTCAAATTTTTAGTGTAGGTACTTAGTGCTTAAAACTTTCCTCTTGCCGGGCGGTGGTGGCGCACGCCTTTAATCCTAGCACTTGGGAGGCAGAGGCAGGTGGATTTCTGAGTCTGAGGCCAGCCTGGTCTACAGAGTGAGTTTCAGGGACAGGCAGGGCTACACAGAGAAACCATGTCTTGAAAAACCAAACCAAACCAAAACAAAGCAAAACCTTTCCTCTTAGGACTGCTGTCTTGGTCAGCTCTCTATTCCTGTGATAAAATACCATGACCAAAGGCAACATGGGGAAGAAAGGGTTTATTTCATTTTACAGCTTGTTGTTAGATAGAATATAGTTGTCAGATAGAATATGATATGTTATCTCAGTTCTCCTATACTTGTTGAGACTTGCTTTGTTTCCTAATATGTGATCAATTTTGAAGAAAGCTCCATGGGCTGCAGTGAAGTATACTCTCATGTTTGGGTACAGTGTTCTGTAGATATCTATGAGATCCATTTGATTCAGGTGTCATTTGACTTCCAAGTCTGTCTGTTTCGTTTCATTCTGGATGACCTGTCTATTCAAAGTAGCAAGGAATTGAAATTCCCTACCACCACTGATTGGAGTCAGTCTGTGGTTTTATATCTAACAGTATTTCTTTTATGAAAATTGATACCCTTCTGATTGGTGTATAAATGTTTAGAATTTTAATATCCTCTTGGTTCATTTTTTTTCTTGAGTGAATTTTAAGTATCTTTCCTGATCCCTTCTCACTAGTTTTGGTTTAAAGTCTATTTTTCCAAACATTAGAAATGCAACACTTGCTTGTTTCTTAGTTCCATTTACTTGGGAATATTTTCTCCCTCCTGTCACCTGATGGTGGTATCTGTTGTTGATGTGAGATTTGTTTCTTGGAAGCAACAGAAAGATGTATCCTGTATTCCAGTGCTAGTCTGTACCTCTTTTTAAAGAACTGAGACATAATACTGGGGATTCTTTTGTTGAGTTAGACATCTCTGATAAACTATTCTGTAGTTCTTTATTCCCTCTGCCTTCCTAGATGTATTTAACTTTCTCTTCAGACCAAAGTATTCTTTCAGTGTTCTCAGTAGAGCTGGCTCAAGGGTTATAAATTAAAAAAAAACAAAACCCTATTTTTATCATGAAAATTTTTCTCCTTTTATTACAACTGATAGTTTTGCTGAGTGTAATAGTCTGAGATGACATCTGTGATCTTTCAGAACGGGTAGACCATCAGTCTGGATCATTCTGGTGCTCAAAGTAATCTCCCAGTGGTAGTCTAATCAGTTTGCCTTTGTATGTGACTTGATATTTCTCTGTTGCAGCTTAAATATCCTATCCTAGTTCCATATAGTTAAGATTTTAATTATTATGTAACATGTGGAGTTTCATTTCTGACCCTGTTTACTTGGTATTCTTTTTTATTTTTATTGGATATTTTATTTATTTACAATACAGATGTCATCCCCTTTCCCCGTTTCCCCTCCCTAGAACCTCCTATCCCATCCCCCCCTCCTCCTCCTTTATGCTTTTATACCATTTTAGTTACATGCACGTATTAAGATCAGTTCTAGGTTGAGGGTTTAGTAATACAATAGATGCAAATAGTCAAGGAACAAGCAAGACAATAAACACAGTCAAAGAAAAAGCAAGGCATTAAACCCAATTAGGTGAACACTCCCATGATCACTGTTTCAAAGGGCTTATCAGGATGACCAAAGAGCCTACCCTGTCCTAGCCCAAGGTCATTTTCATGTCTGAAACCTACTTCCTTGTTTTAGCCTAAAATTTAGATTCCTACCTGAAATTACTTCTTTGTTCTAGTCTAATGTCAGATTCCTCCCTGAAGTCTACTTCCTTGTCCTTGGCCAATGTCAGATTCCTGCCAAGCAGCCCATTTCCTTGTCCTTGGCCCATGAGAGATTCTTGCCAAGCAGCCTCAAAGACTCTCCGCCTCTCCCTCTTTTTTTATTTTATTAACAAGACTGAGCCTGTCTTAGGTCATTCTGACAAGAATGCCTTCCTTACCCATCATGGAATATGCATTATCAAAAGCAATGCATTTCTGTCGTAGGTTGGTAAGGCTCTGTGCAGAATCTTACCCATCCTTGGCTTGGCAGCCTGTTCATTTAATAACTCTGTCTGGGGCGGGGTCCATTTTCAGGTTCAAGCCATGTACTTTGACTGGCAACATGGTAATGTGGTTAAAGAAAAGCTTTAACACAATGGGCAGGAATAAAAGTATTCCCAGGATAAAAAGGGCTAGCATGATCAAGCTATATATGCCATTTTTGAAGCTTGACCAAAATAGAAATACTGACCTCAGGCTATGGGTAATTTTATCTATAGTATCTACCACATCAACACTCAGCAAAACAGCATTCTTGAAATTCATA